ATCCATCTTCAGAACTTCTTTGATGATTTTTGCCACAGCTTGTGTGGAGCTAGAGCCCGGGAGCTCTTCAATGCCCTCAATGTGGAAATTGGACCTTCTCATTCTCCCCTCCAGATCTTCACATTTATCTTTGAGCATTGACATTTCTTTCTGTAAACTTGTTACCGCAGACTGTAGTGAGGTGACTTCYTCTGACCACGTTGAAAGGCCACCTTTTAAGTCCAAGACATCCGTCTTTACCATGTCCACTTCAGCTTGTATGGCCTTTGAGCTGTTGGCAATTTCGGAGCGGACCGCTTGCAGTTCGGATCTTATAGCTTGAAAATCTTCCGCTAGTGCGCCTTTAAGCTCGTCTCTTATCACTTTAGCGATTTCTCCTAGTGATTTCTCCTCTCAGTGACGATAAAATGTCTGCTTTCATTTCTTCGTTACTCATGTTTGAACCTTCAGTCCCAGTGGTTGTCGGTGGATCCGCGTCGTTTGTTGCCCGCTGTCTCGTGGTCCTAGCAGGCCTTATAGCATTAGCATCGCTTCCGTATTTATACTTTTGCAATTTTTCGGCCATTCAGGATGATTTTGTTCGGGTTGTCCGGCTTTTGTGATCTTAAGGTTTTCTCTCCAATGTTTCGGCAAATATTAGCGTGGTTAATGCTGTTTTTTTATGTAATTTTTACGGATTTTGCAGGAGCTCTGAAAATACGTCTTACGCCATATCTTGCTCACCAGCGCCCGCTGCTAGAGTTTTAATGAGAGTTGGAAGGAGAGATCACTTTTCTCCAGTTTTAGCTTCTCTCCACTGACACCCTGTCAAATTCAGAATAMAATTTAAAATATTACTCCTAACATACAAAGCTCTTAACAACCAAGTTCAATCATATATTAAAGATCTTATTGTTCCATACTTTCCTAACAGAGCACTTCGCTCTCAGACTGCAGGTTTACTTGTGGATCCTCGAATTTCTAAAAGTAGGATGGGAGGCAGAGCTTTTAGTTATCAAGCTCCTCTCTTGTGGAACTAACTTCCAGTTTCTGTCTGTGAAGCTGACACTCTGTCTACTTTTAAGATTAGACTGAAGATTTTCCTTTTTTTTTTCACCAACTTCCAGTTTCTGTCCCAAGACCAAGGCAAACATAAGGGGGACAGACCCTGAGAGAGATCCCAAGCACCAAGCCCCCAAGGCCACCTGCGCAGCGAGAACCACCCTCRAGAGAGGAACACGGGCCCACCCACCCCAGAGAGGAACACAGGAGAGAACCAGGAGAGCCCCACCAGCAACCACATGCAGAACCCACAGGCCCTGCCAGCTCCAGCCACACCGGAGCAGAACCAGGCATGGACACAGAGCCCTGGATCCACAGGGTGGACCTGGATCCACAGGGTGGACCTGGATCCACAGGGTGGACCTGGATCCACAGGGTGCCCTGTGGATCCCCCCGACCACCCCCACACACCAAGCGCACGCCCCCAGCCGACTATCAGCCAGACCCCGGCAGCCACCCCAGCCAGGTAAATATTTCTTTACAAGTACTGCTACAATATTACAATATTACAGTATTGTTACAAGTTTACTGCTCCTAGCTGGGAGAACCTCTGATACATGTATTCATTTCACACAGTTTATTAAATAACATTTCAATCTGGTAATAACTGGTGCAATTACCAGCTTCTTTGTCCAAGTTAACTTGTTAAGTTTTTATGTTCATTTGTAAAACAAGTTGTTTCAAACTACTGTTTGAAATGGATTTTTTTTTGTTTTACAGCCACAGGAAACAGACTTTATAGTGACAAACAGTTTTGTGATATGTTCAACAAAAGCTTTATCTAAATGAGTAMGATTTATCTGGAGCCACAGTAGCTTGGTGGGAGAGACAGGAAGTGCATCTGGTGAAACAATTGCTAAATCATCTGTGACTTKAGTCACTGTGGTGACCCCTGAAGAGGGACCAGTTGGAAAAAAAACAAGAATGTAACAATGAACATTATGGATAACAGAGTAGAATGAAATGAAACACATATACACACATATATAAATCATTTTGTATTATATGTAAAAACTTGTAAACACGGGTGATGATGATGCTTTCACCAGCTGAAGGCACTAATGAGGCCAACAAAAACTGGGTAATCTTTATAAACCCTATCATATTGCAAAAATAATAAAGATATGGCAGACTGCACATCGAGTGTAATAAATGGTAAGTAAAGCTAAAAGAGGTTTACAGCTGTAAACCATGTCTCTGAGCAGTTTGTGTGTTGTAGTGCTGCTGAAGTCCTTTTCATAAATTCTCATCCTCTGACTCTGCATCTCGTTCCTGCATCTTCAGAAGTCCCATTTCCACTGGAGGAGTCCTCTTTAGCCTGGAGCGCACCATACTAAAAGAGAAATAAATACGAGAGTGACATCAGATGAAGTCCAGAGACGTTTTGTCCAATCAGAGCAGAGCAGGGCGGGACTTTCAGTGAGAGCATTTTTGGTTGAAGCAACGGGCCGGCTTGAGTCAACTCGAGCTGCTGCAGCAATCAGTCACATCTCCTCCACTGCTCCTCCTGCACTTTGCTCCTGACCTACCAGAGACTTTGGTC